TATCAAACACAGAAAGAAATCAACAATTGAGAGGATGAAAAATACAGTCATGGCTACCAACACTAGAATTCGCACTCCACACTATTTATAAGAGAATTTGGAAGTGAATATTAATGTGAAAGGTGTATGAGAGGATACTATGACTATATTTTAAAATATATATCTTAAAATTGTAGAAGTCGTCTTCTGTGAAGTTCCGTTAGCCAAGGATGCTGTATATGTGGAACCACGATTTGATGTCATTGTAAGTAGTATTAAATGAAACCGGATAATTTCAAGCATTTTCCCCCCATTAGGAGAATATAATGTCTGTTCATGCTGTTGCACGTGCCATACGGTATCCAGATCCTGTGCTCTCTCTGCTTGCTTTTTCTTCTAAGAAGGTTAAACTAAAGGAAAAGCAAAAATATACAAATAGAGTACCGTTTCAAAGGATACTAGTGTAACCAAAGTTACCAAACTTGCTAAGTCACCATATATATCATATATATAAACTCTGTGCTGTCTCATTTTTCAGAATGGTACAATGGGACCCCGAGACGGAACCGAAAGAGGGTGAAGAAATCTCATGAACTTCCTTCTTAGCCTCTTCATTTCCCAAGCTTAAGTCGTAAAAGAAGAGGAACAAGTACTTTTTCCGTACGTACACTTCAGCAATACCAATATTGGCATTTGACATGGTTGGAATATGGAACTAACAAATATAAAACGACGAGCTTTCCGTACATATTCATTTGCCACTTAAAAGTTATAAAGTAGAAGAATTGTCAAGTCATGTCAAGTTTTTTTTGATTATTTGAGGTCACTGTTCACGTCATCATGAATATGACGGAACATGGCATTCTAATGTTTTCATTGTTAAGACACTATTCGTTCTTAAGATCTACTTCAATATCAATATTAAGAAATTAAAAAGTTAAAATCTTATACGTGATTACGGGATGATTTTGAAAAGTTTGTTGTGTGGTAATATAGTCTTGACTCTTGATGAAGTGGCAATTGTATGTTGGCCCCATAGGGAGCTAATGAGGACTGGTAGCATGGCTGTTGATGCTGAGAATAGTTAGACTTGACGGAAACTGGTTTCAGTAATTGAAGCCTCTCTGGTAGACTGTGAGTGCTTCTCTCTCTCTCTCCTTTTTTGTTTTTATCCTTTTAATTCATTGTTTAATTAACTTTAATTGCAACTGAATATTGGCATTTTGTTAATATATATTGCCTGTTTAATTGAAAAATAAATTAGGGTATTTTGCATATTATGGAACGATTTTATTTATTTTTATCTGAAATGAACGTTCGTACCTAGTTCTAGTTCTAATGGTGCATCTTCTAGTCCGTACAATTTTTTGTATATTATTTAATTAAATATTAATAAACGACCCCTCTATCACGAACGTTGACCGTTGATAGTAAACGCTGGAGATCCGCCCTAGCTGAACTCGAACCCTAGATTCGCCCCTGGTGGTTGCTCAATCGACAAGAACTAACACTAAGTGCAACAAGCACCCTACAAATATAGTCACACTCTCAATGCGACATGGTGTTTCAGAGTTAATATTATCCTTTCATTAACCTGTAACCAAGGACTTTGGCTCTTTTATTGTTTCACGTAGGTAACCAAACCAATTTTATGATTGAGTTGGTTACAGTTTTGATTAAAAGGATTTTAGTTTGTGGAATAAGAAAGGGATGGCTACCTCCCACAACATTTTTTAAATTTTTATGAAAATTACAATTTTTTTAATATGTACATGTTACATATATGGTTTGTCCCCCAAAATTTTTTCGCCTACCCCTGTGTGAAATTCCCGATTCCACCTCTAATAAGAGTCATGATTGTGAATTGCCACATACTGGTTCTTTCAACCACAATGGATCTTTCTTTTACAACCTCTAGCAACTTTGAGATAAAGGCGCTGGAGTTTATATCCAACTCCAAGCCTCTTCATTGCTTGAAGGAGTAAAAGGTACCACAGATGATTACAAAGGAGATAGTGCATAACTGATTCTTCTGGGTTGGTATTATTTATTTATATTTTCTGGTTCAAATTCCATTCAGCGATAAATTAAAATTGATTTAGATAAGGTACCATTCTTCCATTGTACTTGAGCTTTAATAGATTAAGCGTGATTCTCTGGAGATTGCCATGGATTTTTATTTTTTATTTTTTGTACTGCAGTCTTGATTCGTTTAATTAAANTCCATTCAGCGATAAATTAAAATTGATTTAGATAAGGTAACATTCTTCCATTGTACTTGAGCTTTAATAGATTAAGCGTGTTTCTCTGGATATTGCCATGGATTTTTATTTTTTATTTTTTGTAATGTAGTCTTGATTCGTTTAATTAAATTGAATTGGATGTCCACGATCATGATGAGATTCTAAGGAATGATTGAACTCCCACCTGAATTATATAAAATTATGCCAAACTTTTTGTGTTTTGAGGAACTGTACCATTGTGAAATTGTGCTTGATATTATTCCATCAAATTGAAAATGATTCAACCGGGGAGGGGTACTTTTCAAACTAGAATTATTGTAAGAGAAAACCCCTCATTTGTAGTGTTCATTGTCGAGCTATGATATTTTTCTATATAATGAGAATAAAGCCGACAAGTCATAAGTGCTAAAGTAGACTACTTTTCGGTGCTCTTTCATAACAAAAATGAATTCAAGTTCACATTAATGAATATATAACGCTGAACACAAAATATATACATATATACACGAGAAATGATCTTCTAAGTATCGGTGTTTAGCTTATGCTGAGCATTGATTACTTGACACTTGAATTAATTGGTGAATAAGTTCAGGGAAGTCCTAGGATTTAAATGATTCAAAAATTAATTAATGTGTCCTGTCACCGATGCTTAGATGATCATTTTCCTGGTAAGAAGATAGGCAAAATGAATCTAATTTATAACACTACTCCACTGGCATCATTAAAGGAGAGGACGAGGCTTCATTAGGATGGACTTTCTTTAATAAAATAAAGGAGAAGCTACACTACGAGAAGTATTTTTCCCTTGATTATAAGCTAAAACTTTCTCCTTTGATTACTTTTTTTTTTTTCATTGCCTTGGTTTTTTCCTTGTGGAGATTTTTTTATCGCATAAACTTCAGCAGGGGCATCACTAGTCATCACCACGGCTTAATGAAGAACACTAAAACCCAGCAAAAAAATTGAATCTGATGATAATTTAGGAATTTGGGTAGGGATTAAATGAATAAATTGATTTGTTGGTGGTGGGGTTCATATAGAGTTTGTGAACTTGGGTGGCAAGAAATGGAGGTCACAGTTTCTTGGAATTATTGGCTCCACAACATTCAACAAAATTAAAAAGTGGGGAACTCAAAATGACTAGAAATCATGTTTGTCGACTTAAAGATGAATTTTAATATTCGTTGGCGAATAGAATTAGTCAAATATATATTTTCTTGGATGTTCATTCTCGTTACATAGTAAATGTGAGATCAACAATGATGGCTATGCTGCCATGGTGATAAAGAGTTTTTCAAACAGGGTATGGAGTCCACTCCACAAGTTTTTGATTGAAGGGGGGCTAGTCTTGACTTAATTTTTGCGTGCAAACAGCTGTGGATGCTATTTCACAGATCTTGACAATTATCAACTGATGCCGAATTCCATCTAAAGAGCCTACAGTTCAGAATTCTTGGAAAAGAAAAAGAAATAAAAGACTAACACATAAGGGAATGAGACATTGTGCATCGGACGATAGCATAATAGAGTAGCAGTAATTGTGAAAGAAGCAATGGAAATAAGATATTTTCCGATATTCTATTATTAGCCTGTATGACGAGGCAGATACACAATTGAGCTAAAGCAACTTAATACAGAGTGACATTCGTATATAGATCGCTACATATTCTGAATATGGAAAAATTATGTGTATGACGAACCGGGAATCTAAAACATTCAGTTAGTGGTTCATTCCCTCATTGTCAGGCTGGTATATCCCTTTCAATTGAGTATTTGAAAGCACATCAAGCAAAGCTTGAGACTGTACCAGCTCTAGCTAGTTTGCGACATGCTTCAGTACCTCAGAACTCATTCTTGCCAAAATCTACACAGGCTACACTGTACTTGAAAGTTTATACGTAACAGAAAGATAAAGTTGGGTACCAGATAAAACAAAGTGTGCTTCAATATCACATTTACGGACACAATATCTCTGTTGGGAACTAAATTAGATCTTCAGAGTCACAATTCAATCAAATGGTGATGATTCAAATTGTTTCTGAAATTTTGAAATTGCATTGCTTGGACTTATTAAGGCGATTTCAGAGTAAAAATCATAAATTCACAGTCGATGAGCTATTTACAGCGATTGTCGCTCAATATGCATCACTCAGGAATTGTGTCTTCAATGCAAATTCTAATTGGAAAATGTAGAACTGATAAAAATCATCAGGAAGCAGTAAGAGAATTATGGTTAGTAATTTTGCGATGAAGGTGGCATTGGGACACCCCTTAGTTCAAATGGAAACCTTGAACATAACATTAAATTTTGGAATCAACTTCAGCCTCATATCGAAAGAGCAGGAAAGATAACTGGATTTTGATCCCATTTATAGTTATCAAACAGGATGAAAAATGCAGTCATGGCAACCAACACAGGAGTTCACACTGCACACGAAATTCTATATTTATAAGAAAATTTTGAACTGTCTATTAAAGTACAAGTTGTACGGGGAAAGGATACTATGACTATATTTTAAAATAATATCTTGAAATTTTAGAAGTTGCCTTCTGTGAAGCTCGGTTAAGCCAAGGATGTATATGTGGAATTGAAGTCATTGTAAGTAGTATTATATAAAACTGGATGATGTTCACGCATTCTACTCCCACAAGGAGAAGATATTGAATAGAAAATTTCGTCAAAAATATACAAATAGAGTACATTTTCATAAGAAAATAGTGCAACCAAACTCACAAAGTCACAATATATACCATGCATATATATATATATTCTGGGCTTTAGTAATTTTCAGGATGATGCAATGGGAGAATACCTGCTACAGGGTGAATTCTGTAAAAACCCCGGAAGAAGCTGCAGATACGGGAACCGAAGCCAGAACCGAAAGAGGGTGACAAAATATCATAAACTTCCTTCTTAGCCTCTTCGTTTCCCAAGCTTTTCAGCATTTTCTTCTCCTTGTTCAACTTTTTCCATACATACACTTCGGCAATACCAATATTGGCACTTGACATGGTTTGTCCCCCAATATTTTTTCGCCTACCCCTACATGAATTTCCACCGCTAATAAGAGTCATGATAGCAAATTGCCACGAACTGGTTCTATTGAACACAATGGATTTGTCTTTTAGAACTTCAAGCAAATTTGAGACTAAGACTTGGAGTTTATCTCCAGCTCCAAGCCTCTTCACTGCTTGAAGGAGTAAAAGGTTACTATTTATTTATATTTGCTGGCTCAAATAATTGATTTAGATGAGATAATATTACGCCATTATACTTAATTTTGAACTGATTAAGCACGATTGTCTAGAGATTGCCATGGATTTTCCTTGTTTTTTTTTTTTTTTTAACCCAATANACTGGTTCCTTTTTTTTTTTTTAACCCAATATTTGAGCTATTTTATTAAGAAAACCTCACTTGTGGCGGAGGAATACCGTGGTTACAAACCAGACCAACTAATTATTTTCCGAACTCCAAGAAATCTAGAACAACATTGGCATATTTAAAGTCAACCTGTGGGGAGAAAAGCCTCTTAAATGAGGAATGCCCAGTTTATCCATACGCACAGCTCCTTTAACTGATGGTGATATAGCAGTGGAATCCATCCAGATCTGTGAAACACTAGACGCTCCCATCTTTGACAAGATATCAGCTACCGAATTACCCTCGCGATGTATGTGTTGAACTCTACATGGGGTTGTAGACAATAAGTATTGTATTTCTTCCCAATAATCCTCTAAATACCAAATACCGCAGACCTTCCTCTTTAGCCAATTAATGATAATCAATGAGTCTAGCTCCACTTCAAGTCGGGTAATCCCCATCCTTTTAGCATGTCGGAGCCCATATAATAATGCCTGTAGTTCAGCACCATTATTGGTGCCCTCATCGAGTTTCTCAGCAAAGGCAATGACAATATCTCCATTCTCATTTCGAATAATACCTCCAGCACCACAAATTCCAGGATTGCCCAGGCAACATCCATCAGTATTGAGTTTGTACCACCCCTGCATAGGTCGTTGCCATCTCACTACTTTAAAGTTTTTATTTTTAATCGGCTTTACTGGTATGTTAAGTTCCCTCAACACCCCTTCATCTCTTCTGCTTAACGTTCTCGCCGCTTTTAGTTTTAACCCCACCCAAGAGATCCAAACTTTTATCTTTCTCCAAGTAGCTTCTATAG